GACTGAAAAATTGAAGAAAAAAAATCTAACTTCATTCCATCTACATTTTGCAAGTCTATTGTCTATCACATTAATTTTAATGACCTATTGAATTACATTGCATTTATTGATAATACATCCTTCTATATATTAAAGTCATATAGCCATGGCCAATCAAATTGCAGTATTTTCCCGCCTAGTGTGAACACATTTTTTTATAAATAAAAATAAATAGAGATAGGGATTTGTCAGATATCCTCTACTAAGGAAAGAATATTCTAGAAAGCAGTTTATTTATTAGAGCATCCACATCAGTGGATATTATGGAGATAATGTCAGATGAATTATCTCGGGTGGGGATAATAACAAGTGTGGGGTGGGGTTATTGGTGGAGATATTCCTCCTGCAAATTCAAGGAGAATGCAGAAAAAGAAGAAAAAGAAAGAGAAGAAAAAGGAAGCTGCTGTGCGCGTTTCGCGCACAGCAGCTCGCCCACACAGGCGCGTCAGGCGCGCCGAACGGCGCGCCTGACTCTTTTTTTTTTTAATTTTTTTTTTTTTGTTTTTTAATTTTTGATTTTGATTTTTTTGTTTTTTTTTTTCCTCTCCTTCCCACATTCTCTCTCCTAATCACTCTTACATTATCTCACAATTCTCCCCAACCATTGTGGATGCTCCTAATAAGTTTTATATTTCCAAAGAAAAAATAATGACCAGATATTATTTTCAAGGAGTCTTTTCAGTTTTCAATGAGTCTTTAGATAGTAATATATATATATATATATATATATATATATATATATATATATATATATATATATAGCGGCATTTGGGTGTTCAGATTTTGAAGAGCTTTATATATATGAATGAATGGTGCAAGGCGGTGGCCAAACTCACGGAAGGGAGCCAAAGAATCCGAGACGGCGGCGAGCGTTAGAAGGACGACGCGGAGAGAAAGATAACAGAGACGAGCTATATGCTAGAACGAGGGAGCAGGTGGAGACGTTGGTGGTCGCCGGCCGCTTTGTTCTGGGCGTCTCACTTCTTGCAGTCAAGATTAGAGTATGGTGAGAGTCAGAGGCAAGAGGGTGAGAGACTGAGAGTGAGAGAGGTGAGAGGGTGAGAGTCTCCTCTGGCAGTGGTGTGAGAAGATGCGGTGATAGAAAGGCTGTTTCGGTGCATGGCAAGGGGTGGTGGTCCAAGACGGCAAGGATGAACACTCAATGATTGTGCAGATTGGAAATACATAAAGGTTTAAAGGAAGTGATTTTTTTTTATTTATTTTTTTTAAATTGAAGCATAACAAATGAGAGCAAGGGAGATACATTTTCAACATTACCAAGATGAAAACAAATAGGTTCTTAAGTTGGGGATTTGGCTGCAGCGTATGGCCATGGATAAATATGATAGAAGTTCTTCTCTAACTGCATTGGTTTGTTCAGGTATGATCATCTTGAATCTACAATAGACTCATCATCAAGGAAGATAATTTAGATGAGTTTTTTTGTTTTTTTGTTTTTTTTTTTTAGGTAATCTGGAAAGTCATCTTCAAGAAAGGTAGTCTATTTTTATTTCACTACTTTTTTTAAGATTCATGTTTATATGTATATGATATGTATATTAACAATGTTTGCTATAAGAATTTTTCCTTTGATGTGTAGTTCCATAGAAAATCACAATGCTATTCCATCCGTTTTGAAGCCCTACGGCCATATATTTGATATTTATCCTAAAACTTGGTTTTATGTAGTTTATAATTTCATATTTTCTGTGATGGGTTGCTGTTTTTGTTTGTTTTTTTTTTTTTTTTGTTTTTGTTTTTGTTTTTTTTTTTTTTGAAAATGGGTTGCTGGTTTTTAGTTTTAGGTTTTATTATTATTTGTTTGGGTGTCTGCCTCTATCTCCTTTGTCAACCTTAAAGTGTGCAATCATGGAAGCCGAGCACCATAGATGACAACCAGTTTTACCTTTATTTTACAAATGTGGTTCAGTTTTTTGATTTGCTGCCTCATTGACTCCATGATGATCCTTCACAAATGTGGTGGAAGAGGACCAAGGTGCATACTGTCAAGCAAGGTAAAATCTTCATATTGTATTTTTTTTTTTAAAAGGGTGAAATCCTCCATATTGCAGCCTATATAATGACCACTCGGATGAGAAGATTTGCATGCATAACACATTAATACTCCTTGCAGAGCAGAAACCTTTCCAAAATGCATTCTTGATACATACTTGCAAGCCAAACTCGCATCTACACAATAGAAAACCTATAATAATTAGTTTAGTGAGAAAATGTGAGGACATCTGACGGAGAACATCTAACTATAGCAATGATTGCCTATTCATGATACCTTATTTATTATCTTTTTAATTGAAAGCTGTATTATTTGTGAAAAATTTCTATAAAATGTTTTTATTTTATTTTATTCTATTAGGGTACATACATTTTTCGAAGGATAGATACAGTGAATGGAGTGGAGTGATTTTGGAATTGAACTCAAGTAGGATCAAAACAGTTTGAAGTAATTCTTTTAATGTAAAGGAAGCAGGTAATTCAATAGGTTGGAAAGAAACGCATTTACATAAAAAATTATATATTAAACAAACATTTTATTTTATAAATCAGTTTATTGTTTACTGAAATAAAAAAAAAATTAGGTTATTGGTTTAAAAAAATGAGATTAATCTACTTTTTATACTTACAATTTTATTGAAAACGAAAAAACTTAAATATTTATGATTTATTAAAATTTGATTGTTCATTCTAATACACAGTTTTGAGAGAAATAGTTATTAGATCAGTTACTGGATTTTTGTTTTTAGAAATTTAAATCAGTTGTTAAATTAAAAGACTGTGCATGCACAATTCTTGCGCAGAGATGAAAAAATTTAAACAAATAATTATGAAACTGATATAAAGTAATTAGAAAAATAATGTATTTTTTTTTTTATCTTCGTTGAAAACAAAAAAGTTAACTCGAAGAATTTTATCTCACTGAATATTTTTTTAATTCTATTACAGATTTGGTGGAGTTTGTAAAGTAATCTGTAAAATAAAACAAATAATATGAAACTGATATAAAGTAATTAGAAAAATTATGTATTTTTTATTTTCGTTGAAAACAAAAAAGTTAACTCAAGAATTTTATCTCATTGAATATTTTTTTAATTGTATTATAGATTTGGTCGCGTTTGTAAAGTAATCTGTAAAATAAAACATTACATATTTCAAAAGTGATTCTGATTATGGTTATTGATTTCACGAGTACTTGATTTTGTTAAAGATATAAAAAAAAATGTCAAATTGAGGTAGAACTATGACCAAAACAAAGTGAGTAAACACAGATTCTGTAAAATGATGATCTAAATTGCAGATTAAATATAAAAACATAAGAAATGGAGAAATTGACTTAGCTTTTTGTATGTCCGCATTTTTTGGAGTTGTTTATTTATGTTTAGAAATAGCGTCTAATCTAACACCGGAGAATTCAATAGAATGGAAGATGAACGGAGAATATTAAAAGGAATCGCAACAAATTGGAAGAAAAAGGGAGGGATCAGAAAGAATCGTAATGAAGAAGATGTGTCGCCCCGTCGCGGTCTGCAGAGGGAGAATGCAATGACAGTCAAATGGGTTAAAAGTCTTGATATGTGATGATAATGAGAATTTTGTAAATACGACTAAAAATGTTGTATATTAAGAAATCTTTAATAATTTGTATTTTTTGAAAAATAATAATTTGTACTTTCTTTATCGTTTTGATAATATTATTCATCTAGCTAATTTATTTTAATTTCGAATATTTTCAGTTGTATTTCTATAATTAGACTTATATTATATTAGTTTTATATTATGTCCTAATACAATTTATATTAATTAATTTTGAAACTCTTCATTATTATTTTCAAAAAAAGAAACTCTTCATTATTCATTGTGTATTGTTATTTGTATTACCAATGTATGTTAATAGCCGTGATTAATAGTGATGGCCTGATGGAAGAATCCCTAGGCTGCATCATTTAATTATACTACCTGACTGTTCAGTCTCCAATAACAACCAATTAATGTATTCTCTTCAAATAGGATTTGAACTAAATATACAGACTGAAATCATTATAAATACATGTAAAGAGAATACTTTCAGGGTTTCGACTTGGTTTCATATTACAGTTGGGCAGAAAGTATGATGTAATGGGTAAGTGTATTTAATTTGGATTATATATATATATATATATATATATATATATATATATATATATATATATATATATATACACGCACAAAATATTGATGTTACTCATTTAAAAAATAAATTTTGATACAAAATATGTTATATTTAAAGTTTAATCTGTTGAATATATTATATTTAACTGCATTAGAAAGATAATAGTGGTACTGCATTAGAAAGATAACTGCATTAGAAACGGTCCCAATATTTTACTTCTTACACATTATGCATTTTTGGGTTCAGAAAATGAAAATATCCAAGGATAGTCAATTTATTTGCATGGGCATATGGATATCGGTAATCGCATCAATTCTCAAAATGATGACGTGCCAATTCAAGGTGTACAATTGAACACTCCGACAAGCAATGAGTATCCAGATGGTCTCAAAATTTTTAACATGTGGCGACTCTACTGTTTGTTTGAATACTACACAAAATGTAATTTACAAATAAATTTTCAATAATTTGTAACACTTTTGAATTTTCAATATCATAACCTATTTTTAATAGTATTCTGTATTTATGTAATACTAATTTTACATCTTACAATGCATTCGGTTTTCAAAAAATATTTATACTTCAATTATAATAAGACTAAAAATATACATCTTACAATATTTCTAATTTTTAGTCCGTGCATCGCACGGGTGAAATACTAGTTGTATAATAAATCTAGTCAATTTATATCCCACTAAACTATTATTGTATGAGTACATTAATTTTATTGATTAGGATTACAGTATAACTGTTGCATTTGCCACCCACTACCCACTTCATCTCTAGTTGTCGGCAACACAGCAATTGCTACTTCATATTATCGCTTCTGCTGATTAAGCTTCAATTCTTCACCCAAACCTTACATTACATACTAAGTGAGAATTGCAGAATATATGGCTTGTGTTGCTGTAAATTCTCTTGTGAGGACGATTGAGCTTGAGTTCTTGCAACCTCTGCCTCGCCCAATCGTACGACAAAGCCAACTCATCCCTGCCAATGAAAACTTGATCCAAAATCTCCACCAGAAGCTTGGTGATCTCATAGATCTGTTCGATGAGAACAGGATGGATGATATCCAAGCTATTAAACACTTGGAAACTAAGCTCAGAGATGTGGCTTTCCGAGTGGAAGACGAAATTGAATTCCAAATCCTACATCTTTATGAGGAAGAGGAAGAGGGAGAGTTATTAGCAGCAATAGCAGGTCTTTTTGGAGAAAAACCACAAAGGACTATTGATGCAGAAGAAGAAGACTTGGGAATTGCTGCAGATCTTTTTGTGGAAAAACCACAAGCAGGAGAAACTTCGCATTCTTTGAAACTTGGTTGTATTTTGGAAGGAGCAATAAGAGACATTGATGCCATCCACAAAGACTTGTCCAAAGAGAAGATGGAGTGTGTCGCAGCCGCCTTGCAAGGAATTGGAATTGGAAGGAAAACAACAACTACAGTACTTGCCGCAGCCGCAGCTTCCTCCCACCGCCAACACGCTTCACACTCCCAGCCCCAGCAGGGCAGCATAATGGTGGGGAAAAACAACGAGTTCCAGATTGTAAAGGCGATGCTAATTCAGCATTCATCAAGGCAACGAGAAATTGTCTCCATTAAAGGTATGGGAGGCATTGGCAAGACAACATTAGCTAAACGAGTTTACGAAGATTCATCAATTGTCTCCCACTTTGACAAGCGAGCATGGGTTGTTGCATCACAATATCATAATAAGTCACAAATGCTAATAGATCTTCTTAAATCAATGGGGGATTGTATAGATAGTGGCACTCAAGAGGATCAGCTAGCACAACGACTATATCAAAATCTGATGCAGCAACGGTACTTTGTTGTGATAGATGACATTTGGAGTGTCGAGGCCTGGGATTCCATCAAAGCTTGCTTTCCAAATAATGGAAATGGCAGTCGAGTTTTGTTGACTACACGCTCTGTAAAGGTGGCTACTATTATAGGCTCTAACAATGACTTTTCGCATCAAATGCAATTGTTAGAAGAAGGTGAGAGTTGGAATCTATTTCAAGAAAAGAAAGGCAAATCTCTGGGTTCTGAATTCGATATGATTGGGAGACAGATTGTTGAGAAATGCAAAGGATTGCCTCTGGCAATTGTTGTGGCTGCAGGTTTATTTTCCAAACTTCATACACTAGATGAGTGGAAGAATGTCGCAGAAGCTCTAAATTCATGTGCAACAACAACAATTGATGAAGAATGCTCAAGGATACTCTCATCCAGTTACAATCACTTGCCTCACAGTTTGAAGGCTTGTTTTTTATATTTGAGCGTATTTCCAGAAGATGAAGAGATCCACGTTAAAGAAATTGTAAAGTTATGGGTTGCCGAAGGACTTGTAAAGGCATATGAGGATATGAGCTTTGATGCAGTGGCTAGAAGGCACATTCAAGAACTCAAAGATAGGAACCTAATTCTTGTAAATCTGCCAAGTAAATGTGGAAGAAAAGTAAAGACATTTAGAATGCACGATTTATTGCATTCTTTTTGTGTGAGGGAAGCTAAAAAGGAAAGCCTTCTGCATGTTGTCAATGAGAATGACTCCAGTTCCCCTCCGAAAGATTTCCGATGGGTAAGAATCCAATCACAATGGATTAGCAGACGAACATTATATTCTTTAAAGAATTGTAGATCCTTCTTTTTTTCCCATGATTATAGACCTTCAGAATTGAAATTTTGCAGTCTATTAAGAGTACTCTATAATGTTATTGACTGTAATATGGCGTATTTTGTCCATTTGAGATACCAATTGTCATCATGGAGCCGAGCTGTTACCATTTTAAATCCATTTCGTAGTTGGAATCTTCAAACACTTTCAGTTTATAATATTTGTGAAATGAGCTTTTTAGAGTTGCCACAACTACAACATTTGTATAGTTACAGAGGTCTGAGGGGTTTTCCCATATTTTTTCATCAAAACTTGAAGAGCATTAGTGGGTTGATTACTGATCAATGCACAAAAGAATTATTTACAAATATTCCATACCTAAAGAAGGTAGAGATTCGATGTCGTGAAGATGGTTTGAGTGATGATTGCATTAATAACCTTGCGGATTCACACCAGCTCGAGAGTCTGCATCTTCATCGTGCAAGTCGGCGTCCGTTTGTGATTCCAAATATTAACCGCCTTGTTTGCTTGAAAAACCTTATGAGGTTGACGTTTACGTCATTGAAATTTGAGTTGAAGGCAATTAATATTTTTAGCAAGTTGCCTAAACTTGAGGTGCTAAGGTTAAGCAATTGTGTGTGCATTGGTAAAGAGTGGGAACTATTGGAGATGGAGAATTTTGACCAGCTAATTTATTTAGAAATTTGGTTCTCTCATTGCCTAGAGCAATGGGAAGCAAGTGCTTGTCATTTTCCAAATCTTGAGCGCCTAGTCCTTAAAAGCTGTACGAAACTGGAAAAGATTCCAGTTGAGTTTGCAGAAATTCCAAATTTGAAGTCAATTGAATTGGATTACTGTCTTCCTTCTGCGGTGGATTCTGCCAAGAAAATTCAAAAAGAGCAACATGAGCAAGGAAATGAAAATATGGTTGTCATTGAGGAACACACACTACAGGTCGGTCTCCCTCCCTTACTCTTTCTTTATTGCCTTTTTTATTTCACTCTACTTTTTTTGTTTTTGTTTTTTCCAAACTTGATTTAGTTTCATCATATCCTAATAATTTGTTTTCAGTGATTCATGGCAGCCTAGCTCTCGCAATGATAAACATATTAGAGTTGATCCATATTTCAAAAAGGTACATATGTTTACAGTTTACCTATATGTATCCTCCTTTGCTTCTTCATTTATTTCACTCTGTGAAGGTTATTTGTTTATAGCTTAATTTGGCGATTGGATATATACTAATAAAATTATAAATTACTTTCCTCTCTTGTGGTATGCTTTACTTTCTTTTACATGTTTAATGTTTACTATGATGCTATAATTACATGACAGAGCTAGGCACCTCTCAATATTTGACTCTCAATATTGATGTGAATGACATAGATCAGGCACATATTCTGGTAAAAAGATTGATTGAAAGGCATCTTAGTGGGTAATATTTGAGAATTTGAATTCTTCCCAGTTCCAATATATGTAATTATGGGGTTAACACAATGTTTCAATTGCAAGTTCCACTCTTAATAAGAGCCGCCTATTAGTCTTCTTGATTTGAGATTGTTAGATACGGGTAACTTAGGTTGTATTTATCTCTTTGTGATCCTTTAATTTGTCAGCTAGAGTCATAAGGTAGAGTTTACGTACCCAGTACACACCCTCAAATAGTAGCTACGAGTTTCCATTGTTACTCCCTCTCAATATATATATGTGTGTGTAATTGTACCCTCACTTGTTGAAACTTCACGTGTACTGTCATGCATGCTTCAATTTGTTATTTATATTTCATATTTTAGCAAGTATTGAAATTTCAAATATTGTATTTTAGTGCTTGAAACCTTCAAAATCTGCTCCCTAGCTACGTACTTGTCAAACAGATTTCATTTCTTTGTGAATTTTTCTTAAATAACTTTCCCCGTCCCGTGAGTATTGAATTACAAAACATCTATATATTATCTTCAAATTAAATTGATAAGAGACTTTTATCAAATTATTATAGATCAGAGAATTAGATATGTTCCTCATGGAAATGATGTGAAGAGGAGTTAATCACAAGCTAAGGTATAACAATGTACATGAAAGGTATGGTAGGTCAAACTAACATGTTTTGGTTGGATAGGTTGATATATGATATAGGTTATATATGAGCGTGTCTGGAATGCAAAAGAATGGTTAAATTTTTTGCTAACTCATTATATATGTTTTTCCTGGATGGCAGCAAGGTGACATACAGCTCCCACAGTACACTCTTAGCTCCAATTCAATGGCTCCGATATCTTGGACACCGCCACCCTAGCTTGTAAAATCCAACGCTTTTCATCGTTAATGATTCGGCTGGTTTCGACCAGGTAGTAAGTTCTCCTTCATAAATCTGGGCACTTTAATTTGTTGTAGCTTGTTATGGGAAGTTTGCTTAGAACTGTGATCCGGGTTTAGCCAAAACTATATATTGCTTGTTGCGAGGCTTTATCATGGCTTAAATGGAGATGTATTAATAACGTCATCCTAGAGTTGAGACAGACAATTTTAAATTTTGTTAATGTTTCTCATGATTATTCAACTTTAGTTATTGACCACTTTAGATTCTACTATTGGGGATGTTTTAGTTCGTCATGTTGGTAAATCATCAAATCATTCTGCTCATGCTTTGACACGGGTTTTAGGTTCTCAAGCTAGTTCGAGGGTGTGGTATTTTAATTCGTAGCCTCTTATTGCATGTATTCCTGTGTTAAATTCTGATAATTGTAGTTCCGGTTTTATTTTTAAACAAAAAAAAAAAAAAAAAAAAAAAAAAAAACTAAAAGATAGGGCGGAAATAGACCTGAATTAGTTGATTCATGCTAAGATTGAAAATTAAATCGAAACATATGGAACGTGAGATCTTGCAACCTCGTCCAATCCTACAAAAAAAGGGATTGATTATTGACAATGAGGAGTTGATCCAATCTCTCCACCAAAAGCTTGCTTTCCTAATAGGACAGTTGGATGAGAACAAAATGGATGGTAGTACTATAGCCATTAAAGACTTGGAAACTAAGTTTAGAGATGTGACTTTCAGAGTAGAAGATGAAATTGAATATAAGGTAAGGATCGGATTGGAGGAGAATATAGTGTAAAATCCTTCTTCCCCAACTTGAACCCGAATAACTTTAGAACTGTTAGATGAATAAGGGTGGTTAGAGTGAGTTGCTGAGTCTTTCATTTAAAATTTGAATTCTGTGGCTGGTAGTCATTTAGCCTATGTATAAATAGGACTTCTACTTGTACATCATTATATGAAATATACTGTTCTTGTGTTCCAATACTTAACATGGTATCAGAGCGTAGGAAGTGAGAGTGAGTGCCTATCCCAACTTGTTTCATATCCGAATGAATGTTACTTGTACCATTTCAAACCTGTTTAGCACTACATGTAAGGTACCTGTACATGGCTTTGACGAACACATTCAGAATAAAATAAAACAACAAATATAGATTTGAGCTGTAAGATTCCCACTTAGCATTAAACAATATCATGTATGCTGTCATTATCTATCTAACATTGATCTATACAAGTTGCAGAATTTTTAACATAAAATTAAATACTAAAAGTTAGTGCTGCCGGCCTCTTGCAATTATTGCACTTAGAGCCATAAGGCAAATTGCCAATTGATGATAATTACTATACACACACAAACTAAGTGAGAAGAAGCTAGCTCAGATCAGATCAGATCAGATCAGAGAAGAATTGAAGAATATATGGCTTGTGTTGCTGTAAATTCTCTTGTGAGGACGATTGAGCTTGAGTTCTTGCAGCCTCTGCCTCGCCCAATTGTACGACAAAAGCAACTCATCCCTGGCAATGAAAAGTTGATCCAAAATCTCCACCAGAAGCTTGGTGATCTGATAGAGCTGTTCGATGAGAACCGGATGGATGATATCCAAGCTATTAAACACTTGGAAACTAAGCTCAGAGATGTGGCTTTCCGAGTGGAAGATGAAATTGAATTCAAAATCGTACATCTTTATGAGATAGAGGAAAAGGAAGAGTTACTTGCAGGAATAGCATGCCTTTTTGTGGAAATACCAGAGAGTACTATCGATGCAGTAGAAGAAGAAGACTTGGGAATTGCTGCAGATCTTTTTGTGGAAAAACCAGGAGGGGAAACTGATGCCCAAAGAAGTTGGCATTCTTTCAAACTTGGTTGTATTTTGGAAGAAGCAATAAGAGACATTGATGCCATCCACAATGAGTTATCCAAAGTGAAGATGGAGTACCAGCCGTGTGTCACAGCCGCCTTGCAGCCTACAGTACTTGCCGCAGCTGCAGCTTCTACCACATGTTGTAGTGATGTGATGATGATGGCGGGGGATTCCTCTCATCACCAACACGCTTCACACTCCCACCCCCAACAAGGCAGCAGCATAATGGTGGGGAAGAACAATGAGTTCCACATTGTAAAGGCAATGCTAATTCAGCATTCATCAAGGCAACGGGAAATTGTCTCCATTCTAGGTATGGGAGGCATCGGAAAGACAACCTTAGCTAGACGAGTCTACGAAGATCCATCCGTTGCCTCCCGCTTTGACATTCGAGCTTGGGTTGTTGTCTCACAATATCATAATAAGTTACAAATGCTCACAGATCTTCTTAAATCAACGGGTTGTGTAGGTAGTGGCACTCAAGAGGATCAGCTAGCACAACAACTGTACCAAAATCTGATCCATCGAAGGTACTTTGTTGTGATAGATGACATTTGGAGCGTTGATGCGTGGAATTCTGTCAAAGCTTGCTTTCCTGATAATGCAAATGGCAGTCGAGTATTGTTGACTACTCGTTCTGCACATGTGGCTACTAGTATTGGCTCTAATAATAAATTTTCTCATCAAAAGCAATTGTTAGATCAAATTGAGAGTTGGAATTTATTTTGTGAAAAGGCAAGAAAATCTGGCTATGCTGAGTTTGAGGCAATTGGGAGACCCATTGTTGAGAAATGCAAAGGATTGCCTCTGGCAATTGTTGTAGCTGCAGGTTTATTTTCCAAACTTCATACGCTAGATGAGTGGAAGAATGTTGCAGAAGTTCTAAATTCATGTGCAACAACAACAACAACAATTGATGAAGAATGCTCAAGGATACTCTCATCCAGTTACAATCACTTGCCTCACAGTTTGAAGGCTTTTTTTTTATATTTGAGCGTATTTCTAGAAGATCAAGAGATCCATGTTAATGAAATTGTAAAGTTATGGGTTGCCGAAGGACTTGTAAAGGCATCCGAAGATATGAGCTTTGATGCAGCGGCTAGAAGGAACATTCAAGAACTCAAAGATAGGAGCCTAATTCTTGTAAATCGGCAAAGTAAATGTGGAAGAGAAGTAAAGACATTTAGAATGCATGATTTAGTGCATTCTTTTTGCGTGAGGGAAGCTAAAAAGGAAAGCCTTCTGCATGTTGTCAATGAGAATGAGTCCAGTTCCCCTCCGAAAGATTTCCGATGGGTAAGAATCCAATCACAATGGATTAACAGACAAACATTATATTCTTTTAAAAACTGTAGATCCATCTTTTTTCGCACATGGTATAGACCTTCAAAATTGAAATTTTGCAGTCTATTAAGAGTACTCTATAATCATATTCACTGTGAGATTGGATATCTTGTCCATTTGAGATACCACTTGTCATGGAACCGAGATTTTACCATTTCAGATCCATTTCGTAGTTGGAATATTCAAAGACTTTCAGCTTATAATATTGATGAAATTAACATTTTGGAGTTGCCACAACTACAACATTTGTGTAGTTACAGAGGTCTGAGTGGTTTTCCCATATTTTTTCATCAAAACTTGAAGAGCATTAGTGGGTTGATTCCTTATCAATGCACAAAAGAATTATTTACAAATATTCCATTCCTAAAGAAGGTAAAGATTGTATGTGAAGATGGTTGGGGTGATTGCATTAATAACCTTGCCTATTCACACCAGCTCCAGAGTCTGCATCTTCGTTGTCGTAAAATTGGGCTTCTGTCTGTGATTCCAAATATTAACCGCCTTGTTTGCTTGAAAAACCTTATGAGGTTGACGTTTACGTTATTGAAATTTGAGTTGAAGGCAATTAATATTTTTAGCAAGTTGCCTAAACTTGAGGTGCTAAGGTTAAACTATTGTGTGTGCATTGGTAAAGAGTGGGAACTATTGGAAAAGGAGAATTTCGACAAGCTAATTTATTTGGAAATTGGTTTCTGTCATTACCTAAAGCAATGGGAAGCAAGTCCTCGTCATTTTCCAAATCTTGAGTGCCTAGTCCTTAAAAACTGTACGGAACTGGTAAAGATTCCAGCTGAGTTTGCAGAAATTCCAAATTTGAAGTTAATCGAATTGGATTACTGTCTTCCTTCTGCGGTGGATTCTGCCAAGGAAATTCAAAAAGAGCAACATGAGCAAGGAAACGAAAGTATGGTTGTCATTGAGAAACACACACTAAAGGTCGGTCTCCCTCCCTTACTCTTTCTTTATTGCCTTTTTTTTTTTTTTTTTTCTTTCAAACTTGATTTAGTTTCATCATATCCTAATAATTTGTTTTCAATGATTCATGGCAGCCTCACTCTCGCAATGATAAACATATTTAGGTTGATCCATATTTCAATCTATCAATGATAAAAGGTATATATGTTTACAGTTTACCTATATTTATTTCACTCATATGTGAAGGTTATTTGTTTATAGCTTAATTTGGCGATTGGAAATATATACTAATAAAATTATAAATTACTTTCATCTCTTGGTATGCTTTACTTTATTTTACATGTTTAATGTTTACTATGATGCTATAATTTCATGACAGGGCTAGGCATGTTCTCTCAATATTTGACTCTCAATATTGATGTGAATGACATAGATCAGACATACATATATATTCTGGTAAAAAGATTGATTGAAAGGCATCATAGTGGGTGATATTTGGGAATTTGAATTCTTCCAAGTTCCAATATATGTAATTATGGGGTTACCACAGTGTTTTAAGTTTCACTCTCAATAAGTGCCGCCTATTAGTCTTCTTGATTTGAGATGGTTAGATATGGGTAACTTAGGTTGTTTTTAGAGTTATTCAAAAAAAAAAAAGGTTGTTTTTAGAGTTTTTTGCACTTTTAGTCCCACGACTATAGTGGCACTGGCAGAATTGATCCACGACTTTTGAACCTTGCAATTTTAGTCCACGATTATTGATTTTTTTGCAAAAATGGTCCTTCCGGCCACTTTTCCGTCAAAATTTCACCGGAAAAAAAAAAATTCTCTATTTTTAGCCAGGTTAAAATTGACATTTTATTTATTTCAAAAAATTAAAAGAAAAAAATTGATATTTGACTACATACAATATTACTGAGCTACATACTACTGCCCCAGGCGGCGGAGTTACGTTCCTGGAGCAGGCAGGGCTGTCAGTAAGCGGCGGAGCGGCCGTGGCGTTCCCCGGGCTAGTTGGGTTATCCGACAGCAACATTGGAGTGGTACATGTACTCCACCGCCTGGGGTAGTAGTATGTAGCCCAGTAATATTGTATGTAGTCAAATATCAATTTTTTCTTTTAATTTTTTGAGATAAGTAAAATGTCAATTTTAACCCGGCTAAAAATGGAGAATTTTTTTTTCCGGTGAAATTTTGACGGAAAAGTGGCCGGAAGGACCATTTTTGCAAAAAAATCAATAGTCGTGGACTAAAATTGCAAGGTTCAAAAGTCGTGGATCAATTCTGCCAGTGCCACTATAGTCGTGGGACTAAAAGTGCAAAAAACTCGTTGTTTTTATCTCTTTGTGATCCTTTGTCAGCTAGCATATAAGGTAGAGTTTACCCAGTACAGACCTTCAAATAGTAGCTGCGAGTTTCCTCCGTCACTCTCTCCCTCAATATATATATAATGTGTGTGTGTAATTGTACCCTCACTTGTTGAATCTTCATGTGTAGTGTCATGCATGCTTCAATTTGCTATTTATTTTCATATTTTAGCAATGCAAAAGAATGGTTGGGTTGATGATATGATAGAGGTTATATGTGACCGTATCTGGAATGCAAAAAGGAATGGTTAAATTTTTTGCTAAGTGTACCCATTTGCAATCTTATTTGGCATGCCACATGGAATTATTTTTTATTTTTATTTTTTGTTGTTATATGATGTGTAATGCAAACTTGCATCTGTTGCAAGTTTGCAAAGTACAAAGAAGGCTGCCATTCGGCAGCCTTCTTTGTACTTTAGTATTGCAAGGCAGCATGGCTGCCTGCAAATCTGTACTTTTCTTTAGTTTTTTTTTTTATTATTATTTTATTTATATATATATAATATAAAATAAAAGTGGGATCCATTTTTGAGAGTGAGAGAGATTTGCAGAGATGTAGTGTGAATAGGAGATGATTTACAAATGAGATGATGTGGAAGTGGGACTCATTTTTTAGAGTGGGAGATGTTTGCAGGGATAAGGACAGCCTAACTCATTATATATGTTTTTCGTGGCAGCAAGGTGACATACAGCTCCCACACTCTTAGCTCCAATTCAGTCGCTCCTCATTAATCTTGGACACCGCCACCCTTGTAAAGTTATGGGTTGCCGAAGGACTTGTAAAGGCATCTAAGGATATGAGCTTTGGTGCGGTGGCAAGAAAGCACATTCAAGAACTCAAGGATAGGAACCTAATTCTTGTAAGTCGTCGGCCAAGTATTTGTGGGAGAAAAGTACAGACATTTAGAATGCATGATTTATTGCATTCTTTTTGTGTGAGGGAAGTTAAAGAGGAGAATCTTCTGCATGTTGTCTATGAGAATGAGTCCAGTTTCCCTCTGAAAGATTCCCCATGGGTAAGCATCCAATCAGGAAGGGTTAACAGACAAACATTATATTCTTATTTTAAAAACTGTCGATCCATTTTCCATTTTGGCAGACTGTATATAGTTTTAAATTTGAAATTTTTTCTCCTATTAAGAGCACTCTATAATATTAACTGTGATATGGTGTATCTTGTCCATTTGAGATGCCTATTATTGTCATGGCTGTGATTTTTAACCATTTCAGATCCATTTTGTAGTTGGAATCTTCAAACACTTTCAGTTAGAAGTATTGATAATATGAGCTTGTTAGAGTTCCCACAACTACAACATTTCTCCTCCGAAAGATTCCCGATGGGTAAGAATCCAGTCACAATGGATTAACAGACAAACATTATATTCTTTAAAGAACTCTAGATCTATCCTTCTTTTTTTCCCAACAGTATACACCTTCAGAATTGATATTTTTGCAGTCTATTAGGAGTACTCTATAATATTATTGATTGTTATATGGCGTATCTTGTCCATTTGAGATACCAATTGTCATCATGGAACCGAGCTTTTACCATTTTAAATCCATTTCGTAGTCGAAACATATGGAATGTGAGATCTTGCAACCTCGATCTGCCTCGTCCACTACTACAAAAAAAAAGGATTGATTATTGGCAATGAGGAGTTGATCCAATCTCTCCACCAAAAGCTTCATTTCCTGATAGGACAGTTGGATGAGAACAGAATGGATGGTAGTATCCAAGCCATTAATTATGAACATAGAACTGTGTCCACTTTACAAGGTAAACACGGTTCCACAACATAACAATTGCTAAGGTACTAGGCAGGCTCAACAAGGCCAACCCATAGCTAAATGGGCCCAGATTTATAGAAAGCGAGGGAAGTGTTGACAGTGAAAAACCCATGGGTTAAAGCCTATTTAGCGAAGATAGTATTTACTATTTAGATCCACGAACAGGAAGGCTTATTCTCCAAATGAAGCAATTCCCCTACCACATTGTCACTCGATCTCCTGCTCTCCACCCAACTACCCTTCAAAATTCAAATCATTGACCAAATAAATTCTATTTATTTTTGAATGGGATGTCATATAGGATACCATGCAATTGGTTACCTATTGGTAACTTGTTAAATATATTAATTATATAATTTTAATCAATTTAAAGATTTAATTGAAACTTTTTTTTTTATTTGAGGACCTAAATATATTTTGATGTATTGTTAGAGGTTTTATTTGACCGTTATCCCTATTATAAATCTAATTTTTTCTTATTTAGAGTAGAAATAGTTTATTCACCTTCTTATTATTATTTGTCAATTAAAGTTACAATAGGAAATTTATGGAAAACATACGATATTATAGTTGAAAAAAAAAAAAAAAAGTAATGTTGCCGACAACTAGATATGAAGTGGACAGTGGTTGCCAGCTAATTGAGTCTATCAGAAAAGTCTTCCGATTATTGCATTTCCACTGAGCAGAGCTACACAGCAATTGCTACTTCTTGTTCTGCTGATTAAGCTTCAATTCTTCACCCAAACATCACATTACATTACTATACGCACTACATACATACATACATACTAAGTGGTCGAGAATTGTAGAATGGCTTGTGTTGCTGTTAATTCTCTTGTGAGGACCATTGAGCTTGAGTTCTTGCAACCTCTGCCTCGCCCAATCGTACGACGAAAGCAGCTCATCCCTGGCAATGAAAAGTTTATCCAAAATCTCCATCAGAAGCTTGGTGATCTGATAGAGGTGTTCGATGAGAACCGGATGGATGGTATCCAAGCTATTAAAGACTTGGAAACTAAGCTCAGAGATGTGGCTTTCAGAGTGGAAGATGAAATTGAATTCCAAATCGTACATCTTTATGAGGAAGAGGAAGAGGAAGAGTTATTAGCAGCAATAGCAGGTCTTTTTGGGGAAAACCCACAGAGGACTAATGATGCAGAAGAAGAAGACGACTTGGAAATTGCTGCAAATCTTTTTGTGGAAAAACCACAAGCAGGAGAAACTTCGCATTCTTTGAAACTTGGTTGTATTTTGAAAGGAGCAGTAAGAGAAATTGATGTCATCCAGAAAGAGTTGTCCAAAGTGAATATGGAGTATGTCGCATCCGCCTTGCAAGGAATTGGAAGGAAAACAAGTACAGTAGTTACCGCAGCTGCAGCTTCGACCACATGTTGTAGTGATGTAATGATGATGGCGGGGGATTCCTCCCATCACCATCACCAACACGCTTCACACTCCCAGCCCCTGCCCGGCAGCGCCATAATGGTGGGAAAAAAAAGAGAGTTCCAGATTGTAAAGAAGATGTTAATTGAGCATTCATCAAAGCGTCGGGAAATTGTCTCCATTAAAGGAATGGGAGGCATTGGCAAAACAACGTTAGCCAAACGTGTTTTTGAAGATTCATCTATTGCCTCCCACTTTGACAAGCGAGCTTGGGTTGCTGCATCACTGTATCATAATAAATTACAAATGCTAACAGATCTTCTTAAATCAATGCGGGTTGTAGTGGATAGCAGCACTCAAGAGGGTCAGCTAGCTGAACAACTATACCAAAATCTGTTGCATCAAAGATACTTTGTTGTGATAGATGACATTTGGAGCGTTGATGCGTGGGATTCTATCAAAGCTTGCTTTCCAGATAATGCAAATGGCAGTCGAGTATTGTTGACTACTCGCTTTGCAAAGATGGCTACTAGTGTCGGCTCTAATAATGAATTTTCTCATCAAGCCCAATTGTTAGATGAAACTGAGAGTTGGAATTTGTTTTGTGAAAATGCAAGCAAATCTGGCTATGCTGAGTTTGAAGCGATTGGGAGACCCATTGTTGAGAAATGCAAAGGATTGCCTCTGGCAATTGTTGTAGCTGCAGGTTTATTTTCCCAACTTCATACGCTAGATGAGTGGAAGAATGTTTCAGAAACTCTAAATTCATGTGCAACAACAACAATTGATGAAGAATGCTCAAGGATACTCTCATCCAGTTACAATCACTTGCCTCACAGTTTGAAGGCTTGTTTTTTATATTTGAGCATCTTTCCAGAAGACGAAGAGATCCATGTTAAAAATATTGTAAAGTTTTGGGTTGCCGAAGGACTAGTAAGAGCATCCGAGGATATGAGCTTTGATGTGGTGGCAAGAAGGCACATTCAAGAACTCAAGGATAGGAACCTAATTCTTGTAAATCGGCCAAGTAATTGTGGAAGAAAAGTAAAGACATTTAGAATGCATGATTTATTGCATTCTTTTTGTGTGAGAGAAGCTAAAAAGGAGAACCTTCTGCATGTTGTCTATGAGAATGAGTCGAGTTCCCCTCCTAAATATGTCCGATGGGTAAGCATCCAGTCAGGAAGGTTTATCAGACAAACATTATATTCTTGTTTAAAAAGCTGTCGTTCCATCTCCCTTTTTGACCGTCTATATATATTTTTAAATTCGAAATTTGGCCGCCTAATAAGAGTAGTCTATAATCATGAGTGTAATATAGATGTAAAGTATCTTGTCCATTTGAGATGCCTATTGCCACGGCTGGCTTTCCTGGAATATTTAGTCATTTCAGATCCATTTTGTTGTTGGAATCTTCAAACATTTTCAGTTGGAAGTATTGATAAAATGAGTTTTTTAGAGTTCCCACAACTACAACATTTTCGTAGTGACAGACCTCTGAGTGATTTCTCCATATATTTTCATCAAAACTTGAAGAGCATTGGTATGTTGAGAGCTGATGACTGCACAAAAGAATTTTTTACCAGTATTCCATACGTAGAGAAGGTAATGATTCATTTTGAATTTGGTTGGAAGGACTGCATTAATAACATTGCCTATTTACACCGACTCCACAGTCTGTCACTTTTTGGTTATGTGTATCCGCTGATTCCAAATAACAACTGCATTGTTAGCTGTAAAAATCTTATGAAGTTGAGCTTTAGGTGTGTGAGCTTTGAGGTGAAGACAATTAATAGTTTTAGCAAGTTGCCTAAACTTGAGGTGCTAGTGCTAAGCAAGTGTGACTGGATCGGTGGAGCGTGGGAACTACTTGAAAAGGAGAGTTTTGACCAGTTAATTTATTTGGAAATTAATACGAGTAATTTTCTTGAGCGTTGGGAAGCAAGTGCTTCAAATTTTCCGAAACTTGAGCGTCTAGTCCTTGATTGGTGCGAAGTATTGGAAAAGATCCCAGTTGAGTTTGCAGAAATTCCAAATTTGAAGTCAATCAAAGTGTATGAATGTCTTCAGTCTGTAGTGGATTCTGCCAAGGAAATTCAAAGAGAGCAACATGAGCAAGGAAATGATAATATGGTTGTCATTGAAAAATACACAATAAAAGAGGTCCATCTCTGATCACTCCTTTACCCTTTTGCTATTGCCTTTTTTATTTCACTCTCATTCATCATATCTTAATATATAATTTGTTTTCAGTGACTCATGACAGCCTCACTCTAGCTCTAATGATGAACTTGAGCCATAGTATATAGTTGAATAAAAGCAAAAAAGGGTACGTATGTTTACATACTTTACCTCTCTCTATATATATATCCTCCTTAGCTTCTTCATTTATTTCATTCATATGTCACAACAGTTATTTGTTTATAGTTTAATTATGTCTTCTTGGTTTGATGTTTTACTTTCTTTTACATGTTTAATGTTTACTTTAATTTCAATATATATTTATATAATTACATGACAGATGCGGGCATGTTCTCAAGATCAGACGGCCGAAATTGATGTGAATAACATATATACTCAGTGTGGCATTTGGGCATTTCAATGTGGTGTGTGATATTTGGGCATTTGAATTCTTCCACTAATCTGCTATTTATATTCACCAAACTGTTGAGACTTCAAATATCATTATTGTATTTTAGTAGTTGGAAGTTGGAACCTTCCTTCAAAATCTGTTGTCTACTTCTCAGACAATAATATTTCTTTGTGAACTACTTTTTCTTAACAAAATACTTTTCTTTCTCATTCATATTATAGCATATTATATGACACACGGTCTCCATATATATAGTTACACATTCTCTGTTTGATCACCATATATATTTTGCATAATCATGTCAATTTCAGTCATCATAAACAAGTAATTGCCTCTTTTCCTGCAAATGAGTTTTCAAATAATGATAAGAGATTTTAGGGAATGAGGTCACAGGAAGTTAATCACAAAGTATACCCTTGGCCTCATTTCCTAACTGTGTATCTTAGGGACCTTTTTTTTTTGTACTTGCCTTGGATAGTCGACTTATAAAATGATAAGACTGACTTGAACCCAACCAAAACATGTCAATCACAAGGTATAACCATCCACATGGAAGATGAAATTGAATTCCAAACCGTACATCTTTATGAGATGGAGGAAAAGTAAGAGTTACTTGCAGGAATAACAGGTCTTTTTATGGAAATACCAGAGAGTAGTATTGATGCAGTAGAATTGATGAGGATCTTTTTGTGGAAAAACCACAAGCAGGAGAAACTGATGCCCACGCATTGAAGTTGGCATTCTTTCAAACTTAGTTGTATTTTGGAAGAAGCAATAAGAGACATTGATGCCATCCATAAAAGAGTTATCAAAAGTGAAGATGGAGTACCAGCCGTGTGTGGCAGCCGCCTTGCAGCCTACAGTACTTGCCGCAGCTGCAGATTCTACCACATGTTGTAGTGATGGAGGAGTTGTCATGATGATGGCGGGGGATTCCTCCCATCACCAACACGCTTCACACTCCCAGCCCTAGCAGTAAAGGCCATGCTTATTCAGCATTCATCAAGGCAACGGGAAATTGTCTCCATTAAAGGTATGGAGGCATCGGCAAGACAACCCTAGCTAGACAAGTTTATGAAGATCCATCAGTTGCCTCCCGCTTTGACATCCGAGCTTGGGTTGTTGCCTCACTATATCATAATAAGTTAAAATGCTCAAAGATCTTCTTAAATCAACAGGTTGTGTAGGTAGTGGCACTCAAGAGGATCAGGTTGTGTAATTTTGACAGCTTTTTATTTTAGTATGATATTCTATGGATATATTATGCTTGGTTTTAGGTGTTTTAATTTTGGTTGGATTGTATATTCTCCATTGTCAACAATTGGAATTTTCTGTTTGTTCACTATTCAGACGTGTTCTTCCTTTTTCCCGAAGCATGGAGGATGTTAATGGAGGTATGTTTTCGTCTTTTTTTTTTTTTTTTTTTTTTGGTTAAGCTGTGTTGCGTGATTGTGTGCATGTGTGTGTTATGGCGTGTGCAGTTCTGTTTATTACGTTTATGGCCGTCAGTTTTGGGAGGCCCGTTTTGTTGTTTTGGTTTTCTAGTATAGATTGATGATTGGTTTTTTTTGTTTTGTTTTGTTTTGTTTTTTTTTTTTTTTTTTTTTTTTAAATTTTTATTTTCTAGTTTCAATGCCGTTAGGTTATTACAAGAATGCAGTTGATAAAATTGTTGTGAACCAACATATATTCCAGTCTTATCTCAATCAACAGCCCAAGAAAAATGCTTCAGGCATAAAATTATGATTATGTATTCTCAATTCAATGAGAAAGCTATATATTTTTTACACAACCAATTAAAAAGCTATACTACAAAAATAAAAGACAATACTACTAATAAAGTACTTTGAAAAGTTAATTAAATGACAAGTAAAGCACTTCAAATAAAGAACAAGCTATACCCACCATATCTGCACTTTTTACTTTCTCATGTATATTTAAATCAATATTGGCAAATTACAGGAAAATCACATGCACTTCACAAGATAGTGGAGTAGCTTTGCACTAGGGCAATCAAAGGTATGTGCACTACAACACTATGTTTGCCACTAAGTGATTGTTTATATATCTTTATTTGTGTGATTAGAATATAATAAACCTTATTGCAGATAGCTGCTAAAATGTTATCTTTATCTTCTAATCACCAATATCGCAGATAGCTGCTAATGTTTTGAATTGAGAAAAAACTATCATCTTTGTTGATTGCCATTCTCATTCCTTTTCGTTTTTACTCTTTTGAACTGAACAACCTTGCAAAGGAGCACCAACTGCCATTCTCATTCCTAAACAAGCATGTGTTTTACATTATTACAAGATTTCAATGATATTAAGTACGGAACTTAATTGCAGGCATTTAGTATAGATTCAAGTTCTGCTACACAATTCAAAATAGCCAACAGATCGGATGCACTCCACAATTTCGCTTTCCGACTCTATAATTTCACTATAGGCTAATGTTAATTTAGATTAATGTGATTGATTATTGGCAATGAGGAGTTGATCCAATCTCTCCACCAAAAGCTTGGTTTCCTGATAGGACAGTTGGATGAGAACAGAATGAATGGTAGTATCCAAACCATTAAAGACTTGGAAACTAAGTTTCAGAGTAGAAGATGAAATTGAATATAAGGATCAGAACGGAGGAGAATATATATAGTGTAAAATCCTTCTTCCCAAACTTGAACCCGAATAACTTTAGAACTATCCCAACTTGTCTCAAATCTGAATGAATGTTACTTGTACCATTTCAAACCTGTTCAGCGCTTCATGTAAGGTTCCTGTACTTGGCTTTGATGAACACATTCAGAATAAAATAAAACAACATATTTTGTCATTATCATGAATGTTGTCATTATCTATCTAACATTAATCTTTACAAGTTGCAGAATTTTTAACATAAAATACTAAAAGTTAGTGCTGCCTGGCCTCTTGCAATATAATTAAAAATGCTTTCCGTCTTGCAATTATTGCACTTAGAGCCATAAGGCAAATTGCCAATTGATGATAATTACTATACACACACACATACTAAGTGAGAAGAAGCTAGCTCAGATCAGATCTGATCAGGTTAGAGAAGAATTGAAGAATATATGGCTTGTGTAGCTGTAAATTCTCTTGTGAGAACTATTGAGCTTGAGTTCTTGCAACCTCAACCTCGCCCAATCGTACGACAAAAGCAACTCATCCGTGGCAATGCAAAGTTGATCCAAAATCTCCACCAGAAGCTTGGTGATCTGATAGAGCTGTTCGATGAGAGCAGAATGGATGGTATCCAAGCAATTAAAGACTTGGAAACTAAGCTCAGAGATGTGGCTTTCCGAGTGGAAGATGAAATTGAATTCCAAATCGTACATCTTTATGAGATAGAGGAAAAGGAAGAGTTACTTGAAGGAGTAGCAGGTCTTTTTGTTGAAATACCAGAGAGTAGTATTGATGCAGTAGAAGAAGAAGAAGACTTGGGAATTGCTGCAGATCTTTTTGTGGAAAAACCACAAGCAGGAGAAATTTCGCATTCTTTCAAACTTGGTTGTATTTTGGAAGAAGCAATAAGAGACATTGATGCCATCCAGAAAGAGTTGTCCAAAGTGAAGATGGAGTATGTCGCAGCCGCCTTGCAAGAAATTGGAATTGGAAGGAAAACAACAACTACAGTACTTGCCGCAGCTGCAGCTTCTAGTGAAGTTGATGTCATGATGATGACGGGGGATTCCTCCCATCACCAACACGCTTCACACTCCCAGCCCCTGCACCGCAGCAGCATAATGGTGGGGAAAAACGATGAGTTCCACATTGTAAAGGCGATGCTAATTCAGCATTCATCAAGACAACGGGAAATTGTCTCCATTCAAGGTATGGGAGGCATCGGCAAGACAACATTAGCTAGACGAGTTTATGATGATCCATCGATTGCCTCCCACTTTGACAAGCGAGCATGGGTTGTTGCATCACAATATCATAATAAGTTACAACTGCTCAAAGATCTTCTTGAATCAATGGGGGTTTGTGTAGATAGTAGCGCTCAAGAGGATCAGCTAGCTGAACAACTATACCGAAAGCTGATGCATCAAAGGTACTTTGTTGTGATAGATGACATTTGGAGCGTTGATGCGTGGGATTCTGTCAAAGCTTGCTTTCCTAATAATGCAAATGGTAGTCGAGTATTGTTCACTTCTCGCTTTGCAGACGTGGCTACTAGTATCAACTCTAATAATGACTTTTCTCATCAAACACAATTGTTAGATCAAACTGAGAGTTGGAATTTATTTCGTGAAAAGGCAAGCAAATCTGGCTGTGCTGAGTTTGAGGCAATTGGGAGACCCATAGTTGAGAAATGCAAAGGATTGCCTCTGGCAATTGTTGTAGCTGCAGGTTTATTTTCCAAACTTCATACGTTAGATGAGTGGAAGAATGTTGCAGGAGTTCTAAATTCATCTGCAACAACAACAATTGATGAAGAATGCTCAAGGGTACTCTCATCCAGTTTCAATCACTTGCCTCACAGTTTGAAGGCTTGTTTTTTATATTTAAGCGTATTTCCAGAAGATGAAGAGATCTTTGTTAAAAATGTTGTGAAGTTATGGGTTGCGGAAGGACTTGTAAAGGCATCGGATATGAGCTTTGATGCGGTGGCAAGAAGGCACATTCAAGAACTCAAGGATAGAAACCTAATTCTTGTAAATCGGCCAAGTAAATGTGGAAGAAAAGTAAAGACATTTAGAATGCACGATTTATTGCATTCTTTTTGTGTGAGGGAAGCTAAAAAGGAGAACCTTCTACATGTTGTCTATGAAAATGGGTGTAGTTCCCCTCCGAAAGATTTCCGATGGGTAAGTATCCAATCAAGAAGGTTTAACAGACAGACATTATTTTCTTCTTTAAAAAACTGTAGATCCATCTTTTTTCCCCAACATCATATACCTTCAAAATTGAAATTTTGCAGTCTATTAAGAGTACTCTATACTCGTTGGGAGGGTGAGATTGGCTATCTTTTCCATTTGAGATACCTATTGTCATGGAAGCAAGGTTTAACCATTTTAGATCCATTTCGTTGTTGGAATCTTCAAACACTTTCATGTGATGGTATTGATAAAATGAGGTTTTTAGAGTTGCCACAACTACAATATTTTCGTAGTTATAGAGGTGCGATCAGTGATTTTCCAATATTTTTTCATCAAAACTTGAAGAGCATTTGTGGGTTGATTTCTGAGCGATGCACAAAAGAATTATTTACAAATATTCCATACCTAAAGAAGGTAGAGATTCAATGTGATGGAGATTGGAGTGATTGCATTAATAACCTTGCCTATTCACACCAGCTCCAGAGTCTGCATCTTTGTGCTGGTAAAATGTTGTCTGTGATTCCAAATATTAACCGCTTTGTTTTCTTGAGAAGCCTTATGAGGTTGAGGTTTACGCACTTGATATTTGAGTGGAAGGCAATTAATATTCTTAGCAAGTTGCCTAAACTTGAGATGCTAAGGTTATACTATTGTGTGTGCATTTGTAAAGAGTGGGATCTATTGGAGAAGGAGAATTTCAACCAGCTAATTTATTTAGAAATTTGTTTCTCTCCTTGCCTAAAGCAATGGGAAGCAAGTGCTTGTCATTTTCCAAATCTTGAGCGCCTAGTCCTTAAGAGCTGTACACAACTGGTAATGATTCCAGCTGAGTTTGCAGAAATTCCAAATTTGAAGTCAATCGAATTGGATTACTGTCTTCCTTCTGCGGTGGATTCCGCCAAGGAAATTCAAAGAGAGCAACATAAGCAAGGAAACGAAAATATGGTTGTCATTGAGAAACACACAATGTAAGTTGGTCTCTTCCCTTACTCTTTCTTTATTGCCTTTTTTTTTTTTTTTTTTTCATTTCTCTCTGTTTTTTTTTTTTTTTTTTTTTTTTCCAAACTTGATTTAATTCGTTTCATCGTATCCTAATAATTTGTTCAGTGATTCATGGCAGCCTTGCTCTCGCAATGATAAACATATTTGAGTTGATCCATATTTCAATCCATCAATGATAAAAAGGTATATATGTTTACAATTTACCTATATGTATATATCCTCCTTAGCTTCTTCATTTATTTCACTCATATGTGAAGCTTATTTGTTTATAGCTTAATTTGGCGATTGGGGATATACTAATATAATTATAAATTACTTTCGTCTCTTGGTATGCTTTACTTTCTTTTACATGTTTAATGTTTTCTATGATGCTACAATTACATGATAGAGCTAGGCATGTTCTCTCAATTTTGATGTGAATGACATAGATCAGACGACTATGTATTCCGGTAAAAAGATTGATTGAAAGGCATCTTAGTGGTTGATATTTGGGAATTTGAATTCTTTCAAGTTCCAATATATGTAATTATTATATGGGTTATCACAATGTTTCAATTGCAAGTTCCACTCTCAATAAGAGGCACCTATTAGTCTTATTGATTTGAGATGGTTAGATATGGGTAACTTAGGTAGTTTTTATCTCTTTGTGATCCTTTGTCAGCTAGAGTCATAAGGTAGAGTTTACCCAGTACACACCCTAAAATAGTAGCTGCGAGTTTCCCTCGTTACTCTCTCAATATATATATGTGTGTAATTGTACCCTCACTTGTTGAATCTTCAATGTGTACTGTGATTATTTACTGTGACTCTTGAAATCGTATATGAGCGTGTCTAGAGTGCAGAAGAATGGTTAAATTTTTTGCTAACTCATTATATATGTTTTTCCTGGAAGCAAGGTGACATACAGCTCCCACACTCTTAGCTGCATCCAATTCAATGGCTCCTCAATCTTGGACACTTGTAAAATGCAACGCTTTTCATTGTTAATGATTCGGCTGGCTTTGACCGGGTAGTACACTTCTCCTTCATAAATCTGGACACTTTAATTTGTTGTAGCTTGTTATGGGAAGTTTTCTTTGAACTGTGATCCGGGTACGGTTTAGTCAAAACTATATGTAGATAGAAAAGGTTTTCCAAGAAAGTCAATTTTCGCCAACTACTATGTACACCTTTGTTACTATTTCAAATGAATGATATCAAAACATTGATATTTTGGTCTTATATTTTTAGTAACTTTTTTTTTCACAAATCAAATAATGCAATTAAGGCTCACATAATGTTGTCATTATCTAACCACATTAGTCTTCCAAGTTGCAGAATTTTTAACATAAAATACTACAAGTCAGTGTTGCCGGCCTCTTGCAATTAAAAATGCTTTCCGTCTTGCAATTATTATATTGCACTTAGAGCTATAAGGCAATTAAAGACAACTCCATCACATTTGGTAGAAGATTCATCAAGGCAACGAGAAATTGTTTCGATTAAAGGTATGTGAGGCATTGGCAAGATAACATTAGCTAGACGAGTTTATGAAGATCCATCAATTGCCTCCCACTCTGACAAGCGAGCTTGGATGGGCTGTTGCATCACAATAAGTTACAAATGCTCACAAATCTCATTTTATTTATTTAATTATTTTCACATATCATCTTCAACCTTTCAAATCTCATCTCATTTTTGTATATAATAAAAGTTGTTGGTTTTCGTAATATATATCACGTGAACCAATTAATTATTTCTTGAAGTTGCGACTTAGTTGTCCGATATGTACTTGGCTTTGCTGGATGAACACATGCAATAAAATAAAACTATATATATATATATATATATATATATATATAGATTTGCGCTGTAAGATTCTCACTTAACATTAAACAATATATATATGATGTTGTCATTATCTAACATTAATCTTTACAAGTTGCAGAGTTTTTAACATAAAATACTGCCCTCTTGCAATTAAAAATGATTTTCGTCTATCTTGCAATTATGGCACTTGGAGCCATAAGGCAGTTCCCAGTTGATGATAATTAGTATACGCACACACATTCTAAGTGAGAAGAAGATCAGATGAGATCAGATCAGAGACCAAATTCATTTCAATTCAATGGCTTGTGTAGCTGTAAACTCTCTTGTGAGAACTATTGAGCTTGAGTTCTTCCAACCTCAACCTCGTCCAATCGTACTACAAAAGGGACTCATCCCTGCCAATGAAGACTTGCTCCAATCTCTCCACCAGAAGCTTGGGTTCCTGATAGAGCTGTTCGATGAGAACAGAATGGATGGTATCCAAGCCATTAAAGACTTGGAAGCTAAGCTCAGAGATGTGGCTTTTCAAGTGGAAGATGAAATTGAATTCCAAATCGTACATCTTTATGAGATAGAGGAAAAGGAGGAGTTACTTGCAGGAATATCAGGTCTTTTTGTGGAAATACCAGAGAGTAGCATTGGTGCAGAAGAAGAAGACTTGGGAATTGCTGCAGATCTTTTTGTGGAAAAATCACAAGCAGGAGAAACTGATGCCCAAAGAAGTTGGCATTCATTCAAACTTGGTTGTATTTTGGAAGAAGCAATAAGAGACATTGATGCCATCCACAAACAGTTGTCCAAAGTCAAGATGGAGTACCAGCGTGTGAAAGCAGCCTCGCATGGAAGGAAAACAAGTACACTTGCAGCAGCTTCGATCAGATGTGATGGAGTTGTCATGATGGGGGGTTCCTCCCAACATGCTTCACACTCCCAGCCCCATGACAATATAATGGTGGGGAAAAACAATGAGTTCCACATTGTAAAGGAGATGCTAATTCAACATTCATCAAGGCAACGGGAAATTGTCTCCTTTAAAGGTATGGGAGGCATCGGCAAGACAACCTTAGCTAGGCGAGTTTATGAAGATCCATCAGTTGCCTCCCGCTTTAACATCCTAGCTTGGGTTGTTGCCTCACAATATCATAATAAGTTACAAATGCTCACAGATCTTCTTAAATCAATGGGGGGTTGTTTAGATAGTGGCACTCAAGAGGATCAGCTAGCAGAACGACTATACCAAAATCTGATACATCAAAGGTACTTTGTTGTGATAGATGATATTTGGAGCGTCGAGGCCTGGGATTCCGTCAAAGCTTGCTTTCCAGATAATGAAAATGGTAGTCGAGTTTTGTTGACTACTCGCTCTGCAGAGGTGGCTACTATTATAGGCTCTAACAATGACTTTTCGCATCAAATGCATTTGTTAGAAGAAGGTGAGAGTTGGAATCTATTTCATGAAAAGACAAGCAAATCTCTGGGTTCTGGATTCGATATGATTAGGAGACAGATTGTTGAGAAATGCAAAGGATTGCCTTTGGCAATTGTTGTAGCTGCAGGTTTATTTTCGAAACTTCATACGCTAGATGAGTGGAAGAATGTTGCAGAAGCTCTAAATTCATCTGCAACAACAACAACAATTGATGAAGAATGCTCAAGGATACTCTCATCCAGTTACAATCACTTGCCTCACAGTTTGAAGGCTTGTTTTTTATATTTGAGCATATTTCCAGAAGATGAAGAGATCCGTGTTAAAAATGTTGTAAAGTTATGGGTTGCCGAAGGACTTGTAAAGGCATCTAAGGATATGAGCTTTGATGCAGTGGCAAGAAGGCACATTCAAGAACTCAAGGATAGGAACCTAATTCTTGTAAGTCAGCCAAGTTTTTGTGGAAGAAAAGTAAAGACATTTAGAATGCACGATTTATTGCATTCTTTTTGTGTGAGAGAAGCTAAAAAGGAGATCCTTCTGCATGTTGTCTATAAGAATGAGTCGAGTTTCCCTCCTAAATATTTCCGATGGGTAAGCATCCAAGGAAGGTTAAACAAAGAAACATTATATTCTTCTTTAATAAACTGTCGTTCCAAATTCTTTTTTTCCGGATGGGATACATTTTCAAATTCAAAAATTAGCCCCCTGTTAAGAGTACTCTATCATCCTGGGGTGTGTGAGATTGGATATCTTGTCCATTTGAGATACCTATTGTCATGGAACCTAGATTTTATCATTTTAGATCCATTTTGTAGTTGGAATCTTCAAACACTTTCAGCTTATGGTATTGATAAAACGAGCTTTTCAGAGTTCCCACAACTACAACATTTGCTTAGTCACAACACTCTGAGGGATTTTCCCATATTTTTTCATCAAAACTTGAAGAGCATTTGTGGGTTGATTCCTGGTCAATGCACAAAAGAATTATTTACAAATATTCCATACCTAAAAAAGGTAAAGATTCATGGATGTGAAGATGGTTGGAGTGATTGCATTAATAACGTTGCCTATTCACACCAGCTCCAGAGTCTGCAACTTCGTGGTCCACTTGCTGGGCGTCCGTTGGTGATTCCAAATAATAACCACCTTGTTTGCTTGAAAAACCTTATGAAGTTGAGGATTTCGGCCTTGAAATTTGAGTGGAGGGCAATTAATATTCTAAGCAAGTTGCCTAAACTTGAGGTGCTAAGGCTAATCAGTTGTAGGTGCATTGGTGAGGAATGGAAACTATTGGAGATGGAGAATTTCGACCAGTTAATTTATTTAGAAATTGCTTTCATTGATCTAAAGTATTGGGAAGCAAGTGCCTGTCATTTCCCAAATCTCGAGCGCCTAGTCCTTAAACAGTGTCGTCAATTGATAAAGATCCCAGCTGACTTTGCAGAAATTCTAAATTTGAAGTCAATCAAATTGACTAAGTGTCTTTGTTCTGCGGTGGATTCTGCAAAGGAAATTCAAGAAGAGCAACATGAGTATGGAAATGATAATATGGTTGTTATTGAAGAAGAAACTGTACTGGACAGTCTCTCTATGGTATTCTTTCTTATTGCCTTTTTCTCCAAACTTTATTTAATTTCACCATGTCCTAATAATTTGTTTTCAATGATTCATGACAGCCTTACTACAGCTCTGATGATGAACTTTAGCTATAGTTGAATAAAAGCAAAAAAAAAGGTATGTTTACAGTCCAAATATATATATATACAGCAAAAAAATTGATTGAAAGGCATCTGAGTGTGTGATATTTGGGCATTTGAATTCTTCCAATATGTATGTGTTGATGTGCACTCTCATACTTCAATCTGCTATATATTTCTGCAAAGTGTTGATACTTCAAATATTGTATTTTAGTAGTTGGAACCTTCCTTCAAAATCTGCAGTCTACTTCGATCTACCTCAGATAATATTTCTTTGTGAACTACTTTTCTTAATTAAATATCTTTCTTTCTCATTCATGTTTGCTGCTATGACATGACAACATATTATATGAAACCTGCTCTCTGACTCTTTCTATATAATGTTACACATTCTCTGTTTTGATCACCGTATATTTAACTTGTGTTTTAACTTTGCAGAGGAAGATGATGAATGCTGATTGCTAAGTGCCTGTCTGCCTTAGTGCCATGAACTTGTAATTTCTTAACTTGTAACTTGTGGGTGATATTACCACAAGGCATCTTAGTGGGTGATATTTGAGAATTTGAATTCTTCCAAATTCCAATATATGTAATTATTATATGGGGTTACCATAATGTTTCAAGTTTCATTCTCAATAAGAGCCCTCTATTAGTCTTCTTGATTTGAGATGGTTAGATATGGGTAATTTAGGTTGTTTTTGTCTCTTTGTGATCCTTTGTCAGCTAGAGTTATAAGGTAGAGTTTACTCAGTACACACCCTGAAACAGTAGCTGCGAGTTTCCCTCGTTACTCTCTGTGTGTGTTGTGTGTGTAATTGTAGCCTTACTTGTTGAATCTTCATGTGTACTGTACGAACACAACACATTCAGAATAAAATAAAATAAAACAACATATATAGAGCTGTAAGATTCCCACTTAACATTAAACAATATCATGTATATATGCTGTCATTATCTATCTAACATTAATCTTTACAATTAAGTTGCAGAATTTGTAACATAAAATTAAATACTAAAAGTTAGTGCTGCCGGCCTCTAGCAATTAAAAATGCTTTCCGTCTTGAAATTATCGCAGTTAAGCCATAAGGAAATTGCCAATTGATGATAATTACTATACACAGTCACATACTGAGTGAGAAGAAGCTAGCTCAGATCAGAGAAGAATTGAAGAATGGCTTGTGTTGCTGTAAATTCTCTTGTGAGGACGATTGAGCTTGAGTTCTTGCAGCCTCTGCCTCGCCCAATCATACGTCAAAAGCAACTCATCCCTGGCAATGAAAAGTTGATCCAAAATCTCCACCAGAAGCTTGGTGATCTGATAGAGGTGTTGGATGAGAACAGGATGGATGGTATCCAAGCTATTAAACACTTGGAAACTAAGCTCAGAGATGTGGCTTTCCGAGTGGAAGATGAAATTGAATTCCAAATCGTACATCTTTATGAGATGGAGGAAAAGGAAGAGTTACTTGCAGGAATAGCAGGTCTTTTTGTGGAAATACCAGAGAGTAGTATTGATGCAGCAGAAGAAGAAGAAGACTTGGGAATTGCTGCAGATCTTTTTGTGGAAAAAGCAGGAGGAGGGGAAACTGATGCCCAAAGAAGTTGGCATTCTTTCAAACTTGGTTGTATTTTGGAAGAAGCAATAAGAGACATTGATGCCATCCACAATGAGTTATCCAAAGTGAAGATGGAGTACCAGCCGTGTGTCACAGCCGCCTTGCAGCCTACAGTACTTGCCGCATGTTGTAGTGATGGAGGAGTTGATGTCATGATGATGGCGGGGGATTCCTCGCAACACGCTTCACACTCTCAGCCCCCGCACCGCAGCAGCATAATGGTGGGGAAAAACAATGAGTTCCACATTGTAAAGGAGATGCTAATTCAGCATTCATCAAGGCAACGGGAAATTGTCTCCATTCAAGGTATGGGAGGCATCGGCAAGACAACCTTAGCTAGACGAGTTTATGAAGATCCATCAATTGCCTCCCACTTTGACATCCGAGCTTGGGTTGTTGCCTCACAATATCATAATAAGTTACAACTGCTCAAAGATCTTCTTGAATCAATGGGGGTTCGTGTAGATAGTGGCGCTCAAGAGGATCAGCTAGCACAACAGCTATACCAAAATCTGATGCATCAAAGGTACTTTGTTGTGATAGATGACATTTGGAGCATTGATGCCTGGGATTCTGTCAAAGCTTGCTTTCCCGATAATGCAAATGGCAGTCGAGTATTATTGACTACTCGCTTGGGAGATGTGGCTACTAGTATCAGCTCTAATAATCACTTTTCTCATCAAACACAATTGTTAGATCAAACTGAGAGTTGGAATTTATTTTGTGAAAAGACAAGCAAGTCTGGCTATGCTGAGTTTGAGGCGATTGGGAGACCCATTGTTGAGAAATGCAAAGGATTGCCTCTTGCAATTGTTGTAGCTGCAGGTTTATTTTCCAAACTTCATACGTTAGATGAGTGGAAGAATGTTGCAAAAGTTCTACATTCATGTGCAACAACAACAATTGATGAAGAATGCTCAAGGATATTCTCATCCAGTTACAATCACCTGCCTCACAGTTTGAAGGCTTGTTTTTTATATTTGAGCATATTTCCAGAAGATAAAGAGATCCATGTTAAACATGTTGTAAAGCTATGGGTTGCCGAAGGACTTGTAAAGGCATCTAAGGATATGAGCTTTGACGTGGTGGCAAGAAGGCACATTCAAGAACTCAAAGATAGGAACCTAATTCTTTTATGTCAGCCAAGTAAACGTGGAAGAAAAGTAAAGACATTTAAAATGCACGATTTATTGCATTCTTTTTGTGTGAGGGAAGCTAAAAAGGAGAATCTTCTGCATGTTGTCTATGAAAGTAGGTCCAATTCCCCTCAGAAGGATTTTCGATGGGTAAGCATCCAATCAGGAAGGTTAAACAAAGAAACATTATCTTCTTCTTTAATAAACTGTCGATGCATCTCCATTTTTTCCGAAAAGTATACATCTTCATATTCAAAATTTAGCCCCCTATTAAGAGTACTCTATAATACTAGATGTCAGCTTTCTTATCTTGTCCATTTGAGATGCGTATTGTCAGTGCGGTCAGAGTTTACCATTCCATATTTTAGTTGGAATCTTCAAACAATTTCAGTTAGAAGTATGGATAAAATTAGCCTTTTAGAGTTCCCACAACTACAACATTTCTGTAATTTATATATTACTGTGGATTTTCCCATATGTTTTCATCAAAACTTGAAGAGCATTAGGTATTTGAGAGTTGATCACTGCACAAAAGAATTTTTTACCAGTATTCCATACGTAGAGAAGGTAAGGATAGGGGATGAAGGTTGGAATGATTGCATTAATAACATTGCCTATCTACACCAACTTCGGAGTCTGGGTTTTTGTGGTTATGATAACTGCGGTTTCTCTAGGCTACCAAAAAATAACTGCATTGCTAGCTTGAAAAATCTTATGAAGTTGTCCATTTGGCATATGAGCTTTGAGGGGAAGACAATTAATAATTTTAGCAAGTTGCCTAAACTTGAGGTGCTACAGCTAGGGGACTGTAAGTGGATCGGTAGAGAGTGGGAACTACTCGAAAAGGAGAGTTTTAACCAGTTAATTTATTTGAAAATTGATGTGAGTAATCTTGAGCATTGGGAAGCAAGTGCTTGTCATTTTCCGAATCTTGAGCATCTATTCCTTTATTGGTGCCCAAAATTAAAAAAGATCCCAGTTGAGTTTGCAGAAATTCCAAATTTAAAGTCAATCGAATTGGATGGTTGTCTTCCGTCTACAGTGAATTCTGCCAAGGAAATTCAAAAAGCGCAACATGAGCAAGGAAATGATAATATGGTTGTCATTGAAAAACTCACAATAAAAGAGGTCCATCTCTCTCCTTTACCTTTTGCTATTGCCTTTTTTATTTCACTCTCATTACAGAGTTTCATCATATCCTAATATATAATTTGTTTTCAATCACTCGTGACAGTATTACTCCACTTCTGATGATGAACCTGAGTACTTGAGTGATGATGATCGAGTCATATAGTTGAATAAAAGCAAAAAAGGGTACGTGTGTTTACAGTTTACCTATATATATATATATATATATATATATATATATATATATATATACTCCTTAGCTTAGCTTCTTCATTTATTTCATTCAATTCATATGTCAGGGTTATTTGTTTATAGTTTAATTTTGTCTTCTTGGTTTGATGTTTTACTTTCTTTTACATGTTTAATGTTTACTTTAATTTGAATATATATATATAATTACATGTCAGATGCGGGCATGTTCTCAAGATCAAAAGGCCAAAATTGATGTGAATAACATATATATTTGGGCATTTCAGTGTGGTGTGTGATATTTTGGCATTTGAATAGTTCCACTAATCTGCTATTTATATTCACCAAAGTGTTGCGACTTCAAATATTATTATATTATTGTATTTTAATAGTTGGAACCTTCCCTCAAAATCTTTTGTCTACTTCTTGGATAATAATATTTCTTTGTGGCTTTTTCTTAACTAAATACTTTTCTTTCTCATTCATATAGCAATATAGCATATGATATGACACACGGTTTCTGGATATATAGTTACACATTCTCTGTTTGATCACCATATATTTTGCACAATCATGTTAATTTCAGTCATCGTAAATAAGTAATTGTTTCTTTTCCTGCAAATGAGTGTTCAAATGATAAGAGATTTTTGTAAAGTGTCATATATGGAATTAGATATGTTCCTGGCAGGGTGTTAGGAAATGAGGTCACAGGATGTTAATCACCAAGTACAACAATCCACATTGATAGTAGGTTGAACATGTTTTGGTTGGGTTCGAGTCAATCTTATTATTTTATAAGTTGACTATCCAAGACATATAGAAAAAAAAAAAAAAAAGGTCCTTAACATACACAATTAAGAAATGAGGCCAAGGGTAATTAATCACAAGGTATAACAATCCACATTGAAGGTAGCTAGGTCCAACATGTTTTGGTTGGGTTAGGCGGCTAGTCTAATCATTTTATGAGCCTAGGGGGTATAGGAAAAAAAAAAAGAGACTCTTAACATACAAAGTTAAGGTATATTTTTATAATTCAAACTTAAAATCAATATATAAGTTTTTTAAAAAAATTAAAACTAATGTAAAATTAGTTTAATACATCTATTTTCTTAAAAAGTTTTCCTTTTCATATTTGCTATGAGAGCAGGTTATATGACACACAGCTGCCTTCTTCTATATAGTGTTACACATTCTAGTCATCTGAATATATAGCCATCTGAATTTTAGTGATCTTGAACAAGTAAATATAATGTCTCTGATCTTTTCTTGGAAATGAGTATTCAAATGAGAAGAGACTTTTGTCAAGTATCAAATTATAGTATATGGAATTAGATATCGTTTTACTAAGAATTTCTATTTAAGTTAATCTGAAATTCCTAAAAATGATTTGTAGATTTTATGAGCGTGTCTGGAATGCAAAAGAGTGGAGTGCTAACCAGGTTGAATTTTTTGCTAACTCATTATATATGTTTTTCCTGGCAGCAAGGTGACATATAGCTCCCTCACTCTTAGCTCCAATTCAATGGCTTTTCATTGTTAATGATTCGGCTGGGTTGGATCGGGTAGTATAGTTCTCCGTCATAAATCTGGGCACTTTAATTTGTTGTAACTTGTAATGGGGGAAGTTTTCTTAGAATCGTGACCCGGGTACAATTTAGCCTAAACTATTGCTTGTTGCGAGGCTTTATCATGGCTTAAATGGAGATGTATTAATAACGTCATCCTAGAGCTCAGATACACAATTTTAACTTTTGGTAATGTTTCTCATGATTATTTTTATTCAGGTTTAGTCATTGCCCACTTTAGATTCTACTATTGGGAACATTTTAATTCTATCATGTTCGCAAATCAGCAAGGGTTATGCTCATGTTTTGACACGGACTCTAGGTTCTCAAGTTAGTTCGAGTGTGTGGTATTTCGTCTCCCCTTATTATATGTATTTATGTGTTAAATTCTGAAAAATGTTACTCCGACGACTAGGATCTCCAAGATGTCTTCCCAATTAAATTCTTCTTCTTCAGTATTTTGCCATGTTTTAACACCTACTCTTTTGCCGATACCATTTGCATCTGGCTGACCAAGCTTATGATAATCATAATTAAATGTTTTTTCCCTTTCGTCTATTCCATATGCATAAATCAGAGCTCTAGGTCCTTGAAGGTCAAGAATGCAGTTGATAAAATTGTTGTGAACCAACATTATATTCCAGTCTTATCTCAATCAACAGCCCAAGAAAAATGCTTCAGGCATAAAATTATGATTATGTATCACTATGAACCAATTTAATGACCAAAGAAATACCCAAATAACCACTCTTATCTGCACCCCTTTCTTTCCAGGGGGATCAAGGAGAAAATTATTTATTGCTGTGTTTCCATAAGAAACAGTTAAATTTTAGTTACACATGACTCGTATATGAATACATGCCCTAAACTTTATTTCCCAAATTCATGATGCATATTACAATATATCACGTATGCATATAACAAGATTCCCACTTAGTATAAAACAATATCACGTATGCTGTCATTATCTTTCTAACATTGATCTTTACAAATTGCAGAATTTTTAACATAAAATTAAATACTAAAAGTTAGTGCTGCCGGCCTCTTGCCATTAAAAATGTTTTCCATCTTGCAATTATTGCACTTAGAGCCATAAGACAAATTGCCAATTGATGATAATTACTATACACACACATACTAAGTGAGAAGAAGATCAGATCAGATCAGAGAAGAATTGAAGAATGGCTTGTGTAGCTGTAAACTCTCTTGTGAGAACTATTGAGCTTGAGTTCTTGCAACATCAGCCTCGCCCAATTGTACGACAAAAGCAACTCATCCCTGGCAATGAAAAGTTGATCCAAAATCTCCACCAGAAACTTGGTGATCTGATAGAGCTGTTCGATGAGAACAGGATGGATGGTATCCAAGCAATTAAAGACTTGGAAACTAAGCTCAGAGATGTGGCTTTCCGAGTGGAAGATGAAATTGAATTCCAAATCCTACATGTTTATGAGGAAGAGGAAGAGGAAGAGTTATTAGCAGCAATAGCAGGTCTTTTTGGGGAAAAACCACAGAGGACTAATGATGCAGAAGAAGAAGACGACTTGGGAATTGCAGATCTTTTTGGGGAGAAACCACAAGCAGGAGAAACTGATGCCCAAAGAAGTTGGCATTCATTCAAACTTGGTTGTATTTTGGAAGAAGCAATAGGAGACATTGATGCCATTCACAAAGAGTTGTCCAAAGTGAAGATGGAGTATGACGCAGCCGCCTTGCAAGGAATTGGAAAGAAAACAAGTACAGTAGTTGCCGCAGCTGCAGCTTCTACCACATGTTGTAGTGATGTAATGATGATGGCGGGGGATTCCTCCCATCACCAACATGCTTCACACTCCCAGCCCCAGCAGGGCAGCATAATGGTGGGGAAAAACAATGAGTTCCAGATTATAAAGGCGATGCTAATTCAGCATTCATCAAGGCAACGGGAAATTGTCTCCATTCAAGGTATGGGAGGCATCGGCAAGACAACCTTAGCTAGACGAGTTTATGAAGATCCATCAATTGCCTCCCGCTTTGACATCCGAGCTTGGGTTGTTGCCTCACAATATCATAATAAGTTACAACTGCTCAAAGATCTTCTTGAATCAATGGGGGTTTGTGTAGATAGTGGCACTCAAGAGGATCAGCTAGCTCAAAAATTATACCAAAATCTGATGCATCAAAGGTACTTTGTTGTGATAGATGACATTTGGAGCGTTGATGCGTGGAATTCTGTCAAAGCTTGCTTTCCTGATAATGCAAATGGCAGTCGAGTATTGTTGACTACTCGCTCTGCACAGGTGGCTACTAGTATTGGCTCTAATAAAAACTTTTCTTATCAAAAGCAATTGTTAGATCAAACTGAGAGTTGGAATTTATTTCGTATAAAGGCAAGCAAATCTGGCTATGCTGAGTTTGAGGCGATTGGGAGACCCATTGTTGAGAAATGCAAAGGATTGCCTCTTGCAATTGTTGTAGCTGCAGGTTTATTTTCCAAACTTCATACGTTAGATGAGTGGAAGAATGTTGCAGAAGTTCTACATTCATGTGCAACAACAACAATTGATGAAGAATGCTCGAGGATACTCTCATCTAGTTACAATCACTTGCCTCACGGTTTGAAGGCTTGTTTTTTATATTTGAGCATATTTCCAGAAGATGAAGAGATTCATGTTAAAAATGTTGTACAGTTGTGGGTTGCCGAAGGATTTGTAACGGTCTCTAAGGCAAGAAGGCACATTCATGAACTCAAGGATAGGAACCTAATTGTTTTTAGTCGGCCAAGTGGTTGTGGAAGAAAAGCAAAGACATTTAGAATGCATGATTTATTGCATTCTTTTTGTGTGAGGGAAGCTAAAAAGGAGAACCTTTTGCATGTTGTCTATGAAAGTGGGTCCGATTCCCCTCAGAAAGATTTCCGATGGGTAAGCATCCAATCAGGAAGGTTAAACAAAGAAGCATTATATTCTTCTTTAATAAATTGTCGATCCATCTTTGTTTTTTCCGGAGGGAATACATCTTTAAATTCAAAAATTAGCCCCCTATTAAGAGTACTCTGTCGTGCTAAGTGTGAGATTGCTTATCTTGTCCATTTGAGATACCTATATTCACTTCCGACAACTCTTCCCATTTTAGATCCATTTCGTTGTTGGAATCTTCAAACACTTAGACAGTATCATATTGATAAAATGAGTTTTTTAGAGTTTCCACAACTGCAACATTTGTGGTGTGGCAGAGCTCTGAGTGATTTTCCCATATTTTTTCATCAAAACTTGAAGAGCCTTTATGGGTTGGTTCCTGGTCAATGCACAAAAGAATTATTTGCAAATATTCCATACCTAAGAAAGGTACAGATTCTATGTAGAGGTGGTTGGAGCGATTGCATTAATAATGTTGCCTATTCACACCAGCTCCAGAATCTGCATCTTCATGGTCCGTTGGTGATTCCAAATAATAAACACCTTGTTTGCTTGAAAAACCTTAAGAGGTTGAGGTTTACGTACTTGACATTTGAGGGGAAGACAATTAATAATTTTAGCAAGTTGCCTAAACTTGAGGTGCTACAGCTAGGGGACTGTAAGTGGATCGGTGGAGAGTGGGAACTACTCGAAAATGAGAGTTTTGACCAGTTAATTTATTTGAAAATTAGTAGGGGTAGACTTGAGCGTTGGGAAGCAAGTGCTTGTCATTTTCCAAATCTTGAGCGTTTAGTCCTTGATTGGTGCCGTAAATTGGAAAAGATCCCAGCTGAGTTTGCAGAAATTTCAAACTTGAAGTCAATTATATTGAATGGATGTCTTCATTCTGCTGTGGATTCTGCCAAGGAAATTCAAAGAGAGCAACATGAGCAAGGAAATAATATGGTTGTCATGGATCGATAAAGGCACATGAGGTCCATCTCTCTCCTTTACCCTTTTGCTATTGCCTTTTTTATTTCACTCTCATTATATAGTTTCATCGTATCCTAATATATAATTTGTTTTCAATCACTCATCACAGCCTAGCTCCAGCTCTAATGATGAACTTGAGCCATAGTTGAATAAAAGCAAAAAAGGGTACGTATGTTAGCTTCTTCATTTATTTCATTCATATGTCACAGTTATTTGTTTATAGTTTAATTCTGACTTCTTGGTTTGATGTTTTACTTTGTTTTACATGTTTAATGTTTACTTTAATTTGAATATATATTTATATAATTACATGACAGATGAGGGCATGTTCTCAAGATCATATCAGACGGCCAAAATTGATATGAATAGCATATATATATATATATATATATATACACTCAGTGTTGCATTTGGGCATTTCAATGTGGTGTGTGATACTCCGTATATATTTGGGCATTTGAGTTCTTCCACTAATCTGCTATTTGTATTCAGCAAACTTCCTTCAAACTCTGTTGTCTAGCTACTTCTCAGACAATTAATATTTCTTTGTGATTTTCTTAACTAAACACTAAATACCTATCTTTCTCATTCATTTAGCATATTATATGACACAAGCAAGGTCTCCATATATATAGTTACACATTCTCTGTTTGATCACCATATATTTTGCATAATCATGTTAATTTCAGTCATCATAACACAATGTCATTAACATACACATTTAAGAAATGAGGCCAAGGGTAATTAATCACAAGGTATAACAATCCACATTGAAGGTAGCTAGGTCCAACGTGTTTTGGTTGGGTTAGGCGGCTAGTCTTATCATTTTATGATCCTAGAGTGTATAGGAAAAAAATAAAGATGAGAGACTCTTAACATACAAAGTTAAGGTATATTTTTATAATTCAAACTTAAAATCTATATATAAGTTAAAAAAAAAAAAAACTAATGTAAAATTAGTTCAATACATCTATTTGCATAAGTACATTTAGCCAACCTAAAGTACAGTGGTGAAATATTTTCATTTCAAAAAAAAGAAAAAAAAAGTCAAGGACATGTATATTGAGAACAGAGAGATAATAAGAAGAAAGATAAAAACACATACAATGCAAGATGGCAGTCTTTATAACAACATTGGAGTAGCTAATATCACTTGTTTTGAAATTGTGATAATTTGGAAATTAAACAATTGGTTATTATGCCAGAAATGATTCAAGTGAACACTTTGACCGATATGATGAAATGAGGATCCCTTGTGTGTAGAGCTAGTATGTGCATAGACATTGGAGGAAGGCTCTTTGACAAGAGCTTTGGAGCTTAAGATTAGTACAGCTCAAGCCGGATACTTAATGTATAAAATCTTGCTCAAAAAAGCTCAGCAAATAAGGCCAAATGTAAGAGGGATTTACCCACCTTGCACATAATCCTCACTGTCGCTACCGAGTTTCAAACATTAGTATCTTGTCCCAAATACTACTTATTGAATCAGTGGGCTAAACCTGTTCAGACATGGTTATGAAAATCTATCATTCTATCATGATGGATAACGACATAAATGTTTGACTCCAATAATAAATTCGCCCAAGGGAAGGTGATCAACCATAGGTGTGAGAAGTCAACTAAAATTTAGCTAGAAAACCTGATTCAACAAATTTAATTCAATGACAAGCATTTTGTGCTCAGATGGCATGTAGTGACATTTCCTAGAGCCTCAGTAGAAAGTATGGTTGAACAGATACTACAATGTAATAGAGTTAGTAGCATTCTAAAAAACAAACAAATTTAATTCAACACATATCACTACTAAAGGCCGGACATTATTACATCCATAAGACTCGAAATTGGATAGTTGCTAATTAAGGGAACAACTTTCTTTGTTATTGCCTATGTACAAATAGTTTGGCAAATTATATCGTGCACCACGGTGCATAATCGATTATGCACCTTCAAAACGACGTCGTTTTGTTTATAAAAAAAAACGGTACCAGTTTCGCGCCGTTCAGCAAAAAGTAACCCTGTTATTCAGTTTCATTTTGTATACACTGCAGTTTCAATTCAACACAACTACAGTTTCATTTCGATATAACTACAGTTTCATTCGATATTTATAGACTCAAAAATGTGAAAATGTTATTTAATTTTATTTTATATACACTATAGTTTCATTAAAATACAACTACATGATCATTTCGATATAATTACATCTTCATTGTACAATATACACTCAAATATGTGAAATGTTATTCAGTTTCATTTTATATACACTACAGTTTCATTTCACCACAACTATAGTATCATTTTGATATAACTGCAATTTCATTTGATAATATAAAAATAATACGTGAGACAATATCGATTTAAATACACTGTAGTGTCAATTTAGATACACTGTAATTTCAACGCAAATTATGTTGTGCAATCGTGTGCACCATGTATGGTGCACACGGTTGCAAAAACGACGTTGTTCTGACTAAAAACGTGCGTCCCACTTAAAAAAAAAGGGAGAAGTGTCAAATAGGCTCATCTACTACTGTCAAGTGCTCAATTTCCACCACAAACTAAATTAAAGTCTAATTAACCACACTTACCTGCTAAGTTTGTTC